AAATAATGCTGGGCCCGGCACCACTGCTCGAACGAGGGCCTCGAAGTTGCTGGTTTGTAGGATGGAGTTCACCATATCGGATCAGGCAACCTCCGAGGACGCAGCGGTAAAAGAACCGGAGATCTAGCATTTTAAATAAAACAGGCTGACCACGTGTGCAATAGGTACAGAACTGCCAACACGAACTTAACACTTGACGTAGTTTTGGTTAGATGCATTCGATAGGAGTTTACCTACAGTCAGTTTCTCGCGGGGTGGGATCTGAGGGCGATTAACTCACTGACAAGAACAGTTAACCCAGAAATGTGACAAATTCAGTATCCGATGGCCTCGTGACGGGACCGGAACACTCGCAGTTTTTTTTTCTTGCACGGCTTTAACTACAGAGTTTGGACCCTCGGGCGGAAGACAGTTCGAGTGTCCCGGGGGTGACGTTTGCCACGCACCAAAGGCAGTTGGTGTTGACTTTTGCCGCCTCTACGGCACTCCCCTACCCACATCTACCTTGCTCTGACGGCAAGATAATCTCTAGACGATCAGAGGTGGGCGTAGTAGCTGACAAAGTTCAACAATCCAAGTATGCCTGCTTCTATGACGACGACTGGAGCCTTACATTCGTGAGGATGCTATAAAGCCATATTAAGAAGATATCCATTGCAGGCGGACCCTGTCCATCCGGCTGTTAATGCACCATGATTGCTGCAAGCCCGTCAGTGAGGAACGCTGTCGACTACTCTCCCTCTCGTCCATCAGTAGATTTCGATAGCACCTTCTTAACTTGACCTCTGGCACTCTCCCGCGTGTGCGATATGAGCCATTCAACCCCCCTCTGCATACGTAGTACGCCTAGACGAGGTCATTCGATATATCAGCAGCTGCTGCTGACAGTCCACTGAGAGTTTTGGACGATAACTGGGGAATGGGAATAGAGAGCTCGGTGCACTTTTCTCATTATAAACAATCTGATGTACTTTAAGCTATCAAGATACACTAAAATCCGTGGCTTCGAAGGTTAATAACTAAAGAGACCGCAAAGTCACCCTAGTACGTCTTTGTTCCGGCTCCCTCTTAATGTGGCTCTTATGGTATGCCCACTCCATGGGATGCGAGCTATGTGTGGCGGCG